TATATTTTCATTTAGATTCTCATCATCCTATATATTTTCATTATTTGAGCCAGAAACTTCTATATTGTTAGATGTTAATAAAACATATGGCCAAAGTGAATTAATAGGTATAATATCAGATATTAACATCCCAAATATTTAGCAAGATTATATACTATTTGACATGATTGATTAAATATATACACAATTTGATTATCATCTGGCTAGGTTCATAATAGATTAATTTGATCATTTTCGATAAAATTTTGATTATATTCAAACTGATATCCTAAAATAAATAATTTAATATATATATGCTAGTTATATACTAATATAAATTGCAATATATAAAAAAATTAGTTTATTTATCTTCACATATAGATTTATCTTTATTAAAAGATATTTCTTTTGAGTTTAATGCTTTAGTATAATGATCTATTTTTGGTACCATTTCTAATAACTCCACAAAATTAAAATCTGCATTAACTTGTCGTGCAGCACCAAAAAAATACTCACATGCTTCTGAACCATATATCCAAGGAACAAGTGGATATTGATTATAAAAATCTCTATGAGCTTTCACAAATAAAACTATTAATACAGCTAATGAAATAAGTATTGCAAATGTTTGAGGTGCAATAAAATTCTGGTTGGAAAAAATAAATTTAGGGTATTTTTGTGTAATATATTTATATAAAATCTTCAAATTTATAAAAAAAAATAAGTTATCATCACCATTTTTATTCATTCAATAAGAGTAATATTTCGATTCAAATAACTATCAACTAATTTACCTATATTAATAAAAAAATAATTAATTTTAATTTATATTTTTATTATAAAATTTTTAAAAGCTTACCAATTATAAATAAATATATAAATGTTTCTTCATATTCAGATTTGATTTCATTATTAGAATCAAGACAGCACATTAGATTTTTAGCACAAAAAATTCTATAAGCTATACTATCATCTTGCTAATTAAGTTTATATATATTATATTTATACATAGGACTTTCAGGATGAGTAAGCAATTTTGTAAAATAATCAAATCCTACAGTAGTATAATTAAGTATAAGAACTCGAGCTCCTGACATTGCTGCATTTCGTCCTATTTTTTTTCTATGTTTAGGATCCTAAACTTGTATTACTAGTTTAATATTTGGAAAAATTGGACAACTAAACTCAATATTGTATCGATTATAACTAATTCTAGTCTACTAGAAGTTGATATTTGTTAAATTGAGTTTGCACATTAAATTCAACCTGTGCACTATTGGAACCAATTGAAATGATATGTAGCTTAAGTTCTTGTACAAAATCTAAAAGTAATTTATGTATATCTAATATTGTTTCTGTTTTATTAGATTCAAGATTAGAAAAAAGAGCAATAATAACAGGGTGAAATTTTGATAATGGAACCTAATATATAATGTTAGTTATTATTTAGTATTAATACTAATATATCAATTATAGTTTTAACTTACTTGTAATATATATACTCTTACATATTTAGCAATAGTATTATTTTCTTTAATTTTATTAATTATAACTGAAATATTATCATATGTTTTAATATTTGTCTCATGATTTGAAAATATAGAACCAATAATACATCCCAATTGTGAAGAATATCTAAGACGTAGTTTCAGTTTAGTATTATCTGTCATAGCTGCAATTGGCCTATCATATCTAATAGAGTTCAAAAATCGTTTGAACTGAGCTACATTTTCAAAACAAAGAGTTGGATCTGTTAATATGGGGCTATTGCAGTAAAAAGGGCTGAAACTCAGAAATATACAATTTTGAGAAAATTGTGTTTATTTTGTTCAGACTGATCTGGGTCAATCAAAAATTCTGTGATTTGATTGGTTAGTTATATCGGATAATCTTGTAATATATGAATTCTCTAAAAAAAATTATAAATATTTTAATTTTTTATTAAGCAAAGCAATTTTTATTTATAATTGAAAAATGTAGCCCATCTTGAAATTTATTTGAATCTTACAAAAACTCAATTTTGATTTCTGGGAGAGTTTGGGCCCTTTCTACTGCAACGGCCCCATATATCTTCAGAATTAAAGTATCTAAAAATAAAAATTATTGTTATAATAAATTTAATATACAATAAACTAGAAATTAAACCTGTTAAAAAAATCTTTATCTAGGTATTATTAAATTACCCAGGTTATTTAAGTAAATTATTATATTTTTGAATAATCACATAGTAACAATTTCTACCTGGGTTTAATCTCTACAATAAACACATAATAAATAATTTCTATACCTAATACTTTGAATTGTTAATCCTTCTAAATTTTGCCAGAATAAGTTTAATACACGTGGACTATAGGTATCAAGAATTACAAGAAAATTTTTAAACTTATCGGTATATTTCAAATTTCTTGTGGATATATTTTTTTCTTTCCAAATTACAGCTTGTAACATAATATTACAAAAACCTTTAAAAACTAGTTTTTTATTAAATGCTTCTTGAATGCCTTTTTCTGCCAATTTTATCCAAATATCAGATGCTATATTGGATTCATTATCTTTGATTATTGATTAAATTTTAGTAAGGTCAAAATATTTCAGATAATTTTTTAGTAAATCATTTTCAAAATAATGTTTTAGAGTATATTTCAGTTTCGAAGTGGATGGTTTTACTTTAACAATTCAATTTTGTAAAAGTTTATTGCCTTTTAAACTAAGACAGTTGTTACAGATATTTTGATTAGTAAATTTCTCACACTCCATAGAAGGAACACAGTTACCTTGATTGAATTAATAAAAAAATAATTAATTAAACCTTCTTATATACGGTATATCACTATACAACTAAAAGCAATATTAACTTACAATCATGATCAATTTTCTATACTGCTTCTGTATACAATTGACAATTTAACTAATGTTTCTGTAAACAATCCAACTTCTTATGCAAAAATTCTTTTGAAGAAAGATCTAAAAAAATTTTTTTTGCAATAACTTCAATTCTTTTAGTTTCACAAAACTAAGCAGGAGTACAACTAATATATTCATGGATAATACTAGATCTAAGATCAGAGCAAGGCTTTTATTTATTGTTTGATAGGATTATCACTCTTACAATCATTTTTTATATCACTTATTTTGTTAATTTTAAACAAATCATTATTATCTATATTTTTATCATCATCACTTTCCCACTCTTCAGCACTGCTAACACAATTATCACTTTTAATTTTTTTTGATTTAGAGATTGGTTTAAAATAATTTAAAATTGATCGAACTCCTTGCTTAGCTAAATATCCTTTATCATTAACATGAATATTTAAGAAAGTTTTATTATAGTAATGACCAAGTTTGATAACTTTAGCACAACAACAAATAACTTTTTTCATTTGAACTATATGGGTGCAATATAGATGTTTTGCAAGTTTCTCTTTACTATATTTCAAGATAGTAGCATTTTCTAAGAGAAAAAATATCAAATATATAATAATTTTTTCTGATCTTTTTTTTTCTGATCTAATTTTTTTTTTATTTACTATGTACAAAAGAGAAATGAACTAAATTAAAAAAGTTATGAATCATATACTAATTATAGAATATATAAAAAATTCAATTTCAAACTCTTTCTGACGATTATCTGGTCAACAAAAAACAAGAAACCAAACTATAGTCAGCACTATAGAAGACGCTTAAGTAAATAATAAACTTGGTCCTATGAAAGTAGGTGTGTTGTCGACGGTTAGACTAAATAAGTGCAAGTGGTAATGATCGCTTAACGGACAGCTTATCTCGTAAGCTCTAATTGAGAGT